TTTTTAACAGCTGAAAAAAAAACATTATTCTCCCTGAAAAAATTTTTAAAAACCCCCTGCCACAACAGTATTTTACAAACATCATTTAAAAGAAAAAAAAAATTTTGACAGATGAACACTCTACAGAACTTCTCACAGAATACAGAAGTAAAAATTTCACAGGTCCACAGCCTAAATTTTCAAAAAAATCTACAAAAATGGCCCTGTAAGACATCAATGAAATTTACTTTAAAAAAAAGGCACCAAAAATGGTAAGTTCTACATTTCTAGAAATTATGTTTTTACAGGACAGCCTAGGACTTGATATCAACACCAAATCTCACAAAAGGTACATGGAAAAAATTACCTTCCTTGGTGAATGGGAAAACAGACACACAGACACACTAAATTTCTTCCACTGCTATGCAGAGAGATGGGATTCATCCTACTTAACTCCACGCGCTGAAGACGCATCTCTCTCCACTGATTTTAGAGCATCTAGGGCAATCACTCCTAACCTATGCACATCGGTGAAGCGCCTCCAGCGAAGTCAAGTGAATTCGAGCCAGTGTCAACGGCAAATTGAGAAGAAAATCAAAATCAGATATAATGTTCGTTAGCAATGTCTGAGTATCCAGAAAACTGTTTTCCCTTTCTTTATTAATGAAATTTTTTATGCATAAATTAGGTTGGCGTGATTATTCACTTTAAGGCGCACACGGCCCACCCTTAAAAGCGTGCGTTAGGAAGGGTCTGTGACAGCTGGGGCTATTCCAGCAGAGCTCTCCAGGCAATGACACAGCACGTCGAAACCAACTGACCCTGCCTCTTCCGCAGAACGCTGCGCGCAGATGAACCAGCATAAACTATTTTTCTACAGAGGTGTGTATTTCCATGGTGGAAACACTTATTTTTTATGCACCTTTCCTCAGAAGAGCCCGCATACATGAGCATCAAAATGCCGCTTCGGTTTTCACTAAAGCGGAGAGAAATACATGTTCCTGTTGAGAACAGTTCGGGCATTTCTCCCTTGCCAACACAAAACCAGAATGGTAACGCTGTCCCTTCAGCCTTCGGCCCACGTGCGATGGGTAACATTGCCTTCGCCTGCTCTGCCTCCAGCCCTCGGCCGCAGCTGCTACAGGACGCACGCGCCCCCAGCCCGCGCACGCAAGGCTGCTCAGCTTTGGTAGGGGGTCGCAAGCATTAAACAAGGCTGCACGGTTACAAGTAGGTAACACCGAATAAGTTTTTCCAATTATTTTACTACCAAATACGTTCACCTGGTAACTATTCTAACCTGATCAGTTTTAAGAATCTGAAATCTCTTCCCCTCCCCATCCCCACAGGATCAGGACGAGAGCCTGCTTTCAAGAACGTTCCACCTACATCTGCAGAATTTTGCTGTTATGCTTCATCACTGCTATGCAGTATTTGATTCCTAACCAGATACCAGAAAACGTTCAGTAATATATTGCCAGTAAGAAAATGTATTAGTCTTCATTATACTAACATATCGCAACATAAAGTAGATGAGCTGTAGCACTTACTCCCCGTTATCCTTGGAATGTTGCATTTTATTCCTTTTCTAAGGAATAATCTCCATGCATTAATATATAGCATATATATAGAGCACACTTGCCTCTTTACACCTCAGTAAAAGCGGAAAAGAAGAGGAGGAAGAAAACTAAACATGCATGATACAGTGCATAAAAGTGAATTACATAAAACTGTAAATGTGGAGCACTGGTATAGCTGAAAGAAAAGCCACGTCCCCAGGCTGGAGTTCAGACTCAAACACACTGTGTTCCAGAAACAGAGCTGGTGTTCCAACTAAAAATTATTTGTCATCTGTTGGCCCTAGTTTTCAGATGAGACTGGAGCTTCTGATGGTCAAAACAGGACACCTTATATAATTTTTTATTAAACTCTCACCACCTTTTGAATTTAGGTGTGGCGTTCTTTTAATTATTATTAAAATAAATGTGTTCCAAGCTACATATTTCAAAGTGATCGGTTAGGAAAAAAGGAAAACCTGTCACGTAAGCTGCAATTCATTCTTTAGAAAGGAGGGAGGCATCTGTTTTCAAAATCCCAAATGAAACTAATTCAAAAAGATGATGTGCAGGTACAAAACGTCCCTGAAGTATCCCAAGACGTTTTATACTTTGAGATTAAGAACATGCTTGTCTAGCAGAAATACTACAAGAAAAAAATTCTGTTCAACTCACGTTAAATATGGGAATTCCCCTCTATCCTAGGGATAAACACCAAAACAAACACACAAATATCTTGTTTCTTTAGGAAGACAGGCACACAAAACAAGCAGAGGAATAGAAGTGGCTAGTAAAGGCCGATTTTAATTTTTTAAGGCCTTAGCATCCTATTAAATTCACAGAATGGGATTGTTAGAAGCTTAGGGTAAGTAATGAAGTACGTAAGACGAAGTAAGTATGAAGTGTAAGGATGAAGATGAAACAGGAGCGAATTCATCTTAAAAGCCTAGGACAAGGCAGCAATTACAGCGAGCTGAACGAAACATGAAACCAAGCCTCACGATGGCCATGGCTGTGCACGCCGTCCCCAGACAAACACGAAGGTACAGACCATTTCCAATACAGGCATACAGAGGCACACTGCACACAGATAAATAAACAGCTTCATCAGTTACCCTGAGCATGGGAAGCTTGAGATGCTGTACAACATTTTATTAGTACAGACAAAGTTACAAGCAAAACTTAGAATGTGAATAGGCAAATACTGTATTTTCTGTAAATACACAATATTACCATTTGTATAGCTCTCATTATTATTCCATTGTTCACATACATTTAAAGGTAATAAATTTTTTTCTTCTTTCCAGATGCAGAAATTTAGGCAACAGAAAATGGATGGTTACTCCTATTCTATCCTGATCAAAGAAAAGATCTCTCCTCTTTTCCACACCAGTTAAAGTTCAGCTTCCCAGTTTTCTTCTTCATTTCAGAGAATGAACAAGAGAGCAGCAAATATGAGACAAAGTTAATCTTACTGCAAATTTTCTCATATGAATAAAAAAGCAATGAACAGTTTTATTAGTATTAGCATATTTATGGGTAACTTTTTTCCTGAATGGGATCTTTGTGCGGTGCTTGCCTGCAAACACTTGTAGCTGCTGGAAATGTATATACGCTGGGAGATGTAAACTGACGTTTCGATAAATGGAATTGTTACAGCCAGCCAAGTTTTCAGTTAATGACCATCAGCTTCAATGATCCAAGGGAAGGTACTGCACAGGAAAGCATCAAAT